TTGCTCGTATCACCAGCATTGCTCATATCAGCGTTGTTGCTCGTATCACCAGTGTTGCTCGTATCACCAGCGTTGCTCGTATCACCAGCGTTGCTCGTATCACCAGCATTGCTCGTATCAGCGCTGCTGGTGGCATTGCTGCTTGCCTCTTCGATGTAGCTGCTTGCTGCTGTGCTTGCCGCGTTCTTCTTGCTTCTTGTTGTTTTGCGAGGCATCGTATCGTATCCTATCGTACTATCAACCACGACCACTAAACTGGACCAAACAGACTTTCTACTGGGTCCTTTCGAACGCTTAAGGGCTTGTTCAATCGACAATGGAGATGGTAGATGCAACGGTKGTAGTCCTGTTGTCTAAGGTTGAGTATGAGTGCTTCAAATGGAGGGAACACCATGGGCAAGTGGCTTGCAAAACTGAGTTTTTCGATAGAATGAATAACAAGCTGTATGCTCAGGGGGGGGAGGGGGAGCTGCTACGTGAAAATCGTACGCAAATTTAGTACTAGAAAATAATCAATCATTATCGCCAACGACTCCGTTTGTATGTGGGAATGTGTATCATTATTTGTATCTTTCAGTTAGCAGTTATACGGTGGGTTATTATACTTATTAGGCAACTCCAGTAGTTAATAAAATAATACAAGTACACACATTAGCACCGTAGAAATGTACACAGAAAAATTTTGATACTACTAAATATGAGGGGTGCGAAAATATGTACCATATAATATACAGTAATACAACGGTAAAAAATACATGTGTATCATTTCGCAGATACAGTACTAGTATTACTCTAATTTCTGTACTACTACTTCTAGTAATTAATTGACGGAAGTGTATGTTGAATCGAGCCCTAGGAAAATTGGTACGTACCGGTACAGGGGGGCACATCCTGAATTTTTGAATCCCACTAGTGTACGACCAAAATAGTGTACGACCAAAATAGTTTGGTATTTCAGTCAAATTTTGTGTAGGATTTGTACTGCAGTCTACACAGCTGAACTCTCTTGGAAAATCATAGCGTTGACGGGAAAAAGTTAAAATACAGTACATTCGTTTTTGTTGAATCGATGCTGTATTGAAGTCACAATAATTTACGATACGAAGTCATAAAGACAAATACTGTAAACCTGTTGACTAGATAAAAGAAAAAGAATGCTTTCTGCATTAGCCAAACACATGTCCAAAATGGTCAACGGAGGCAAACCATTAGCCAAACGCCCCCTGCTCACTCGGGCCGAAGAAATTGCCGAAGCATACTTGACCGAACAGGTCGTTTCGAAAATCATTACGAGTAAGGAGGATGAGAATAAGGAGAATGAGAGTAAGGAGGATGGGAGTAAGGAGGATGAGAGTAAGGAGGATGAGAATAAGGAGGATGAGAGTAAGGAGGATGAGAATAAGGAGGATGAGAGTAAGGAGGATGAGAGTAAGGAGGATGAGAGTAAGGAGGATGAGAGTAAGGAGGATGAGAGTAAGGAGGAAGAGAGTGACGAGGAAGAGAGTGACGGGGACGCAGAGTAAAATTGAAGTGCCGATGGCGTGTCTGGATCAAAGACGAACAATTTCATTGATGGATTCAATACCCAACAGTCGCGAATGATGCCCAAAGATTTCCCGAATAAGAGATTTGAGTCTTGACTACMAAAGAACGGTTCTGGTTTATAGTTTTATCTTCACTGTTTTGTGTGTTCCAAGTCAGCATTCACTTTAATCAATACATTTTAATTAATGCATTTTAATTAATATGGCTTGGTCCGCAGTTTTTCGTAGCCCCCAGTGCATTGTCTTCGTATTTCTAACTTCCACCGTTCGAAGAGAAATTATAAATTACCGGTAGTTATGCTCTGTGGATATCGACTGCTGATCAATGTGAGAAACCAATTCTACTCACTTGGTGATTCTGACTGAGGTATCCGTATATTACTAACTCTAGTTAGGGTGCCCCCGAGGCAAATTCAAGAAATGGACCAGACGAGAAGCTTCCAATTAGAAGACCGAACGTCATTGCAAAGTTTAGAATCGCAGAAGCAACTTGTTGAGGATTCGTCCGATTTTCAACCAATCTTGGAGCATGACAAAACGCAATGTTCGTCAAAATTCCATTCGTAACTGCAAACATAAATTGAATAGTCCAAGACTGCATATCAGCGTGAAAAGGAATCCAATTTTGAAAGCGGTTTTTCCGAGCTTTACAAAAGAGGAAAAGGAAAAAGAAAACGAACGTTCGCGCTATTGATATCCAGACAAGTTTGCCTGACAGATTCTTGATTTCTTCAATTTTAATTGCACTCGACATGAATCGTCCAACCAAATCACCCACATTAAAAATCACAAATGAGAGGGGTACAAATAGATCATTTCGTAACCTTGATAGAGAAGTGCACTGAAAATCACTGATGAGCTCTGACGTCCATGCAGGAAAGACGGCCAGGGTACAAAAATATGTAAAAAACAGTGAAACTGCGACGCCTCGAACAGGTAACCAAACCGACCCGAGAACACCTTGTGTGTTTTCCGTTGCTTCGGTGAAGTCGGTATCATTGCTGTCCTGTCTTCGAACTTCACTTGTTATCAATTTGTGATTTTGGTAGCTCATAGGAATCTTATTCGTGATCATATCGGTGTCTGATAAATTTCCGTTCACACTATGATCGAAAGCAGATGTATACGATTCGGGAACCGAATCTACTACGAGGAGTTCTAATCTCTCACCATTGTGGTCTCCATCTTTGTCGACTTTATCGGGTGATTTTGCACTTTCATCTTCTACCAAAGCAAAGCTGTTTTTCCGAACCCGTCGTTTGTATCGGTCGACGTAATCATATCCAAGCATGCATGCTGCAAGTACGAAAGTACCCATAGAAAAGTAACCTGCTGTAGCCAAACTAACTTCTTCATAAGCTATGCAGACGGTCTTCTCTTGATTTGTCTCATTGTACGGCTCATCAACAAGTTCGTTTGTATTGTGTACTGTTGCCTTGAAGGGAATATTCTTGGAGCAATATTGTAGTACAAAATGTAACGGCCCATTTAGAATAGATGCAGTAAAGTTGGCACATGCTACGAGAAGCCCCCCCATAGCTTGGCCGTTAAAAAAAGGATTAATCCCCAGAGTTGCGGGAAATAGACCTGCGGTACCGACCACACCAGTTGTAGCAATAGCCGTGCAAACTCCACAGATGAATAATCCAGATAGGGTTAGCAGTAAAAATATTTGAGGCTGAATCGATGTGTAAAATACCATAAGGGTAGATATTGCAAAGACAGCAAGGTATACTGCTAGAGGAACCATAACCATATACCAGCTTGCACAATCGGTGCTATGCCTTGTGTCAATTCTCCCCTCTAATGATGTACTGCTCGACATCATCGAAATTGAAAGATTTTTCGTTCTTTTGAAGATCATTGACTGAACCGAACTTATTCCCTTCGTAGCCTTTGAAGTCATGAAGAGGTTGTTGCTGTCCGTGATATACTGAATTAAAATCACAACGGCGAGTGAGAGAACGCTGGCACCATTGTATATGATTGAAAACCACATTTCAATGGTCTGATCAACGTTGTTATATGTGATTCCATTTTGCGACAAACCACAGAGACGAGAGACGAAATATTGTTTGGCAGATATGTACGCATTCCATGGGAGAAGAATTCCAACGCCGAGGAGAAGAAATGCAGTTTTGATGAAGCTTTGGGATGCGAAAGCAGGAGGGATATCCCTCTGCTGCCTTTCAAACATGATAAAATGGTCCCAATTTCGATTTCGATTCTTTTCTGGCGCGAACGTAAATATCTGTTACAACAACAGAGTGTGTTGTTTCGTTCACAATATGGATTAAGAGATATGATCTATTGACATCATTTTTGCAGCTTGGTATTTTTCGTGTTCGATGCTCGTTGTTTTGCGATTACGATAGATGCAATTGTGTTTTGTGCCAATCATCTTCATCACACTCGTTTCACTGTTACTGTAGCATCATAATCATTGGATCACACGTTGTTGTATTTTCTGTCCAGAAAGTGAAACACGGGACGACTCGCATCTTCTTCGATTCTTTGATAATTTTTGGTAGATAATTTTCCCCCCCTACCTTCATATGCATCCATAATACGTACATACGGTACTAATTTAAGTACCACAGAATTGTTTACACTTCTTACGGTACCGTACGTCAAGAAATATGAGTCATGGTACCGGTAGACACTCTATTTTATCTTGGGCCAAATGCAATGATGAAAACATGATGACTAACATTACTGTCACTCCAATTGAAATGGCATGCGCTATTTTTAAGGGGCCATTTGAATATATCAATACTCCCTGATGGGGATGAGTAGCTCTCAATGTGAGAAACTTCAGTGTTGCAAAGAAACTGAAGTGGACGTAGTGCAAAATAAAATAAACAAAATCTAGTTATATTTAGTGTGTAGAAGAAGTGATTTCGATATTGGAAAGTTGTAACATGAATACTGCAAAGTATTCGATTATGAAATGGATCTACCGGCACTTATTTGCATTCGCCAAACTTTTTATGCGCCTCTCTTGTGTTGACGAAGGCCAGCAGGTCTGCAAATGTTTTCCCAATTCCTGTAATTTTCAGTAGAGAGCATTCATCTTCTGGTACTATGCCTCTGTGTCGTTCTAACAACTCTTGCGCAGCCTTGACGATTTGTTTTGCTTTCGCATTGTAGAATTGCAAATTGGATATATGACTCGCCAATAGTCCCGGATCGATATTTGCCATTACGCTCACCGTTACCATCTTCGGTTCAGCTAGACTGGAAAAGTAGTCTCGCAAGGTTTTCATAGCCTTTCTTACCGTAACTTCCTGGCAACGCGCATGTAGCCGGGCTGCCAAAAGAACTTGATACCGCCGGACTTCAAGGGGAGCCGAGGAATCAGCCATGCTTTGCCATTTTCGAATGATTTTGGATTGCTCTTCTGGGGAAATGTCTTTTATCTTAACAAAGTCCTTTTGTTTTTGTTTCAAAGAGACACGAATCCTTGAACTGCTAACGTTTTTAATATCATTGCTTTGATTTGCGATGTTCGACTTCCTCAATTTACTTTTTGATGCGAAAGAATGTCTCTGCCAAGAGCTGCATAAGCTATCCAGACCGTTCGTAGTTTTCACGTTATCTTCTGATGCATCAGAGGCACTATACGCAAATCTTGCAAAAGGATTTTCCTTGACACTCCCAGCGACGACCGAGGGTTTTTGAGGGGAAGCGATTCTTGGCCTCTTAGTTGTAATCGTATCCCCATCCGTGTCTACATCCAGATTTGATCCATTGAAGTTCCGATCACTGTGACCAAGACTTTCATCCTCCTCCTTTGCCGTCGCTAGTCGGTTGCTTTCGACTTTTTCTTTCTGTGAAATAACGTCGCATGCATCGACAGGATCATCGTCGTCAAGAATTTCAATGTTCGTATTCAATTCACAACGTGCGCCAGGCTTTTCTGGTCCGCGTTTTTCTTCGTTGGCAACATCGACACTGTCGTTTTTATCACAAGAAGGATCGTCTGTTTCATCGTCGGTATCGTCATCGCTACCCAAGATAATGACATCATTTTCCCTCTGCAATTTCAAATCGTTTTCTTCGTCACGTGAAGGCTTTCGTTTTGGTCGAAAGAATCGACTAATGCATCTATCCGACGACGACGTGTCCTTCTCAATTTTCGACGGTCTCGTTGTTGCATTTGTCGCCATGTCTGATCCGCCCTTCAGCTTGTCAAATATGTGCCTCACTTTGTATCATGCTAGAATATGCAAGTTTGTTTTCTCTCTTCGCAAAGAATGTGGTCCCTCAGGTTGTAGGGTAAAAGGACTTGTACTCGTTCCTTCATTTTCAATTCATGGAAATCCCTCCACGGTACAGGAGCATTGGTAGCTCTCGCACGCAGAGTGTTCATTCCTACTAATACGAATTGAATTGAATCGAATCAATCGAATGCAGTCAGTCGTAGAAAATAGAAAATTAATGAACGGCAAGTTCTTGAACCCAATTGAATACAGTATTACGTACGGTACTTGGTACTAGTGGCCGGTAGTAGTAGATACTGTACTACCTTTTAGAATTCGACTCATTCGAGTCACACTAGAGACTTATCGAGACCCTGTGACTTGATGTGATGGATTTTTAAATCATCCGAAAGAGAAGGCCTTGTGCCTGATTTGATGATTTGAGACACTACTTCTATCGACCCAGTAAAGGTAAACGGTGCTGCTCTCGTCTGCTAAGTGAGGAGCACAACCCCGCAAGGCAACTGCAGTCAATACCAAAAATTGCATACGGTACAAGCAAGATGTCGACAGTTAAACAAACGCCGCTTCCCACACCTTTAAAGGGGAAGGCAGATTGGAGGGAGTACAAAGCGTTCCGGTTAGAGAATGGGGTCACGTGTCTGGCAATTAACGACAAGGAGAGCAAGACGACTGCCATGTCATGTATAGTGGAGGTCGGTGCATCTTCCGATCCTAGAGAGTTGAGCGGACTCGCTCATTTTTGCGAACATATGTGTTTTCTGGGTTCAGAAAAGTACCCGGGCGAAAACCAGTATAAACGCTACCTATCCTCACACGGCGGCCGTTCGAATGCGAGTACATCCATGCATCTCACAAACTTCAAGTTCGAAGTCCTCGCAGACCATGCCGAAAAGGCTGTCGATATCTTTAGCAACTTTTTCGTGTCGCCACTGTTCACATCGTCTGGTACAAGCCGAGAAGTGCAGGCGGTTTCATCGGAAAATTCAAAGAATCTGACAGCAGACGGACGCCGCCGTTTGCAAATACTCAAGGACTTGGCGGATCAAGATCACTACTATTCCAAGTTTTCGACCGGAAATTCAGAGACTCTTCCGTCTGACAGTCCCGAAAAACTTGAATGGCTTCGTGAAGCCTTGTTGGCCTTTCATCGAAGGCATTACCGTCCCGAGAAGATGACGGTAGTGATTGCGGGTCCCCAGCCCATGGAAACACTGGAAAAATGGGTTGGAGAGCGCTATTCGAAGATCAAAACTGCTTCTAGTAGTTCCAATGGCGAGATCGAGGAATCAATAGCAGCGCTTAGGCTTAATGTAGAAAAGCTAGTAGCGATTGCTGCAAAGGACGCCCCGCCATACGCGTTCGAGGAAGCGGCTCCACCGTACAACTCGGCATTTAGGTCGTCCCTTTTGAAAAGTAACGAAGACGGTGATAGCACCTGGCCAATATTGCTCACGACCAAACCACTGCGATCTATGAGGAAGCTCAACATGATGTTTCCAATTCCGTCGGATCGCAAAACGCCGGACCGAGCTCCTTCGTCCATGTTGTCCCACTTGCTGGGACACGAAGGAGTTGGAAGTGCCTTTGCCGCATTGCAAAACAGTGGCCTTCTTAGTTCGTTATCTTCGGGCGCAAGAACAAGGGCCCCTGATTTCACTCTCTTTCAAATTGATATGGGACTCACAGAGAAGGGGGAAGAAAATTGGGAGGAAGTGGCGAATACAATCTTTGCATACTGTCGAATGCTACAGAAAAAGGCCAACGGGAAAAACAACGATGGGAACGACGATCCAGAAGCTGTCAACGAACTCAGGCGTATATGGGAAGAGAATGGCGAGTTACACAGGATATTTTTTGACCAGACATCACCGTCAGGGGCCTACAGCTATGCTCCGGATATTTGCGACAGTGTAGTATCTTACGGGACGGAAGCTTGTTTGAGTGCCGGAAGGATGCTTCACGAAACGAAAGCATCATTTCCATTAAAGGACTTCACCGAATATACGGAACTGTTGGTTCCCGAGAATTGCATAGTTGAACGTTGCAGCGAAGAAGCATACAAAGAAATGGAAATGAAGGATAAGGGTTTATTCCCAGACGGCTTCGGTCTGAAAAAGGAACGATGGTATGGTGTAGAGTATTATTTGGCACAAATCGAGAAAAACCGCGTCTTAGAATGGAAAGGCCTAGATGGACTCTCCGCAATGAACAATGGCACAAATGTAGTTTGCCAATCAAGTGGGTTGCATTTGCCATTACCAAACCGTTATATTCCACGCACCCTGGAATTGTGCCCGGATTTGCCAGAAGAAGCAAGGAGGGGCCAACGGATTGACAAACCCATAGACCCTCCATCCCTCCTTGTAAACGAAGAAAACTGGAAGCTTTTCCATCGGCTCGACGACCGATACGCGCTCCCAAAGTCCAGCCTGCAGCTCTTGATAAGAAACCTTTCGTTGCAGAACACCAAGAATGAAAAGGGTGAATGGATTCACAATCCAAAATCTGTGTTGTTGTCTTCATTCCTTGCCGCCATATTCAACGAGTCAATGGCGCAAGAGACTTACGATGCAAGTCTTGCAGGACTGCGCTGGTCCCTATCGATCGGGTCGACCGGAATCAAATTGAATTGCTTTGGATTTTCGGATCGGCTGCCGGATCTCGCACTGAGGGTTCTAAGCGACTTTTTGTCTGGCGAATTCTTGAGGGACGAGAAATTCTTCGTGGCAAGCAGAGACCGTGTCATCCGCAGCCTAGGAACGTATTTCGAGTCACGACGCGCGGATGCTCACGCCATGTATTACCGCGACTCGTTGTTGAGTTCAAAGGATGAAGGGGTGGCCGAGAAACTCGAAATAGCAATTGCAGCCGAATTCGAAGACGTTGTAAAGCACCACCAAACCGTTCTGCAAGACACCGAACGATCCGTTCAGTGTCTTTTCAACGGCAACGTTTCTCGGGGAGAGGCCATGGAATTTTTTTCAAGCGCGAAAGCAAAGATCAAAGAGGCTTACGAAGCACGAGCCCAAGAGCCGTTGGATGACGAGGCCCAAACTCTTATCGACCCGGGGATGGTCGAGCGACAACTCCAACAGGGACAGGACATCGAGCTGCATTTCAGCAGCCAGAATGTCGAAGAAGAAAACGGTGCCGTCTTGTGTTCGTATCAATCCTCGATTCCGTCGTTCAAAGGCGAAACATTGTCCCATCCGTTGGCACTTCGTTCGAGTTCCACCATTCGGTTGATTTGCCACATGATGCGGGAACCACTGTTCGATTCGCTCCGCACCAAGCAGCAGCTTGGCTACATTGTTAGCTCCTACTACGAAATCGGAATGACCAGCCAGTCGAACGAGAACGGCCGGGTGCCTCTGACGACCCCGGTGGACTTTATCTCGATCAATGTTTTGAGCCAGAAAATGGCACCCCCCGACATTGCCGATCGAATCGATGAATTCATCGAGGACTTCCGTCGGTCCCTGGAGGCAATGCCCGAGTCCGAGATCCGCGACCACGCCGATGCCCTGGCCACGAAACTCCTCAAGCCGACGCAAAAACTCCTGCAGGAGGCTGGCTCGCAGTACTCGCGGATCCAGCACTACGGCCCCGAGGTCTTTCACCGGCGCAAACAGCAGAGCGTTGCTCCCGGAGCACCGGCAACCGTTGGTGGACACGAGATTCCCTGGGACACTACCAAAGCGCTGGCCTCGACGATTCGCGGCCTGGGCCGGGAGGACCTGCTGGAGACCTTCGATCGGATGACCCACCCGTCGCGCCGGTCCCGGGTCGTCTCGTGCGTCTACGGAAAAAAGTTTCCCCTGGCCACCGGCGGCGCTTCCGCGGGACCCGGGCGGCGCCCCTCCCCGATCGCTTCCGTGGTCGGCGCCATGGTGCCCTTGTGGCGCCCCCGGCCCCGGACGACCCCGAACCCGGCGATCGTCGTCGGGAGCCTCCAAGAGCTCCTCTCGCTCCGTCGCCGCCTACCCGGCTTCGACCTTGCCGGGCGGGGGCCACCGGTCCGGGCCCGCGGGAGGACCATGGCGGCGGTCGGCCTGGGAGTGGCCCTCCTCGGGGTGGCGGCGGCGGCCCGCCGCGAACGCCCGCCGACGGCGCCCGGGCGGAAGGAGGCGTCCTAGGAACCACCGCAGCAACGGAAGGGCCCGGGCCAGCCGGCCCTGCCACCACGGCACCCTAACGATAACCACACGCACGAGTGCCACCACATCTTTGCCTCCGTTTGGATTTGCATTTGCATTTGCAGTTACAGTCGCGTCTGCGTAGCGTTGCGTTGCGTTCCGCACCGTGCTTGCCAGTAGCTTGCAGTTTTTTAGTGGTTGGTTGTTTGGTTGTCGTCTTGCCACCGGCAGGTGGAACGGCGGTGGTTGGTTCTCTGCCGTTCACCGTATTGGTTCGGCAGAGTACTGTATTGTGCCGAAGCTAACAAGCAACCCGATCCGAACGGATCCATCGTTGCAGGGCCTCGATGGCTAACCGGTTCTTGGTCGCTTGCTGCTGCTGCTGCTGCTGCTGCTGTTGTCGTTGTTGCGGACCACGTCCCGGATCCCCTCTTCCAGGATGCGGTAAAGGGCCCGTCCCGTGGGCCGGTGGGAGGACTTGACCAGCGAGCAGATCCGCACCGGCCGGAGCACGGCGGGCCGGTCGTAGTCGTTGTCGTTCTCGCAGTCGTTGTGGTTCTCGTTCTCGTTCTCGTTCCTTCCGCGGGTCCCCCCCTGCCACTGCMGCTCCCTCGACAGGACCAGGCGCGTCGCGGTGGCGTGGGCCCAGGACTCGCCGAGGGCCGGGACCACCAGCGCGTCGGAGGGGTTGCTGCTGCCGCTGCCGCTTCCGTTGCTGCTTTGGCCGTGGCCGTGGCCGTGGCCGTGGCGCATCCTGGTGGTCATCTGGTTGATCGCCACGACCGCCAGGCCGTGCCTCCGGGCCAGGTCCCCCAGGTAGCCGGCCAGGCCCGCGAGGGTCTTGGTCCGCCGCAGGTAGTAGGAGGGATCGGTGGGGGAGGCCGCCCGGAAGTGAAAGGCGATGCTGTCGACGACGACCAGCCGGACGGGGAGGCCGCCTTTCGTGCTTGATGCTTCTCCGATGCGGTCCCCCAGGGAGTAGAGGGTGGCCAGGAGGGCGGCCTCGTCGTGGACCCGAAAGACGTCGATCGAGGCCAGGATGCCCTCGGGGGTAAAGCCCGGGGGGAGGCAGGTTGTTTCGTGTTCGTGTTCGTGTTCGTGTTCGTGTTCCTTTTCGTCGCTGGTGGTGGCACTCTGGCTGCTTCGCTTGGTCTTGGTCTTGCTCCCGCGCCTCTTCTGCCTCCGCTTGCGGGCGGTCCCCCCCACGTGCCCGCACAGGGCCCCCGCCATGGCCCAGGCCCGGTCGGCCGAGAAGGACCCCTCGGCGTCGACGTAGAGGGTCCTTCCCCCGACGCCCCCAAAGGAAGGCGGGAGCCGGGCCAGGACCGCCAGCTGGGTGGCCAGCTGGGTCTTTCCGGTCCCGGGGAGGCCCGCCACCTCCGTCAGGCTTCCCAGCTCGATCCCCCCGCCCAGCAGGTCGTCGACGGACCGGCAAAAGGTGACGATGTGGCCGTTTGGGAGGCAACCGCTTCGGCTTTGGCTTTGGCTTCTGCCGGTGTTGCTGCCCGGGAAGGACAAGGGATCGCTCCGGTGGAGGAGCTCGTAGGCGGTGACGATCCCGTCGTCGTGGTCCCGGCTCTTTGGCGGTGCTTCGGTGCCGTTGTGCTCGTTGTCCTTGCCAATGCCAATGCTCTGGTTCTCGTTGCTCGCATCGGCCCGGCCCCTTGGCAAAAAGGACCCGAGGCAGCCCTGGACCTCCCGGATCAGCCCCGCCGCCTCCCCCAGGGAGACGTCGAGCTCCGAGGCCAGGAGATTGATCCCGCCGCTGGCCCGGGATTCCTCGATCTCGCCGGTCGACTCGAAGCCCCGCCGGGAAAAGCGTTCCAGGGTGGACGGCCGCAGGAGGAGCTCCGACAGGGGGACCGAGGGGGGTCGCCGGGCACCCGCCGTTGTGCCCCTCGCTTCCATATCGGGCAGTGTCGTGTCGTTTTGTGTCGTGTCGTTTTGTGGTGTGGTGCGGTCTTTGCCATGCAATGTGGTGTTTGGTTTGGTTTGGTTTGGTTTTGTTTTCTTCCGACGGGCCGGGTTGTTTTGCTTCGCGGCAACGCGATGCAATGCGATTCCCGCGTTGTCGGAAACGCCGCGATGGTTGCGGTTTCACCGCACCGCGGGAAAAGACGACACCGGCCGGAAGGACACGATGGTATGGTTAGTAGTACCGTAGAGTACGTACGAGAACTACTCGTACCTGGTACTGTACGTATGATACTTGTACGAACTCGTACGTACGTACGCATAGTACTGGAAAGTGATCACAAATAGCTATTGCTACGGCATTCGTACGGTACCAAGTACCGTACCAGTTCCGTACCGGTATTTACTCCACAACCAAATAAGTCGATTGCAAATGCGGTAGTCGTACCGTACAGTAGTGGAATGAAGTTCGTCCCGTTCCGATCCGATCCAATCCAATCGGCAAGGTTGTCACTCTCTTCTCTCTCCGGCAGCCGGCGCAGACGGTCTGCGAGCACCGCCCACCAAACCGCACCGATGCTTCCGCAGAGATAGACTCCTTCCGCGATTCGAACGACGCAAGCACAGCAACGGATCGAGACGGGGGGGGGGAATCGGTTCGGTTCGAGCGACAAAGGATCGACACGAGACGAGACGACACGACACTAGACACCGCGGGCAAAGCCAAGGAAAGGGCAACCCACCGGGACGCGCTCCGCAGCGCACGGGAATGCCCGGGGGCCCGAGAGGGGCCGGCCGCGGGAGGCGGCCCCTCCTTTCCAACCCGTACGCGGCACCGAGCCGCAAGCGGCCCCGGCCCGCAGAAGGGGCTTCCCCCGGCCCCCGGGGGAGGGTCCTTCCGAGCCAAGAGGACCCCTCGAAAGGCACCCCCGCACCACCCAAGAAAGCGCCTCCTTCCGAAAGGGACCCCCGCTGTTGCGAGGTCTCCTCAATGGCGTCCGCCCTCGTCGTCTCCGCGAGCGACAAGGCCGGGATGGAGGGGATCGACCGGTCGAGGATCGACGCGATCCTCCTCCGGGAGTCGGGAAACTCCCTCTTCATGAGGCAGCAGAAAAAGAGGGACGAGAAGGTCGACGAGCGGGTCGAGCGGCTCAAGCAGAGGGTGGAGGAGGCCCCCTTCCGCCTCGGAGCGGGCCTTTCCCTCGAAGAGGAGGCCGACGAGGAGATCCGGGCCTGCCAGCGATCCCAGGCCACCCGGGCGACCTGCGTGGTGGTGGACATGGTGGGTCGATGGCGTGGCGTGTTTGTTTGTTTGTTTGTGTTTGTTTGTGTCTTCGATGCGTTGTGTGTGGTTTCTGGGAGGTTTTGTGCGTGTTTTTTTCTGTTTGGTGTTCTGTGTTGTGTTGGTGTGTTGGTTGGTTTTGCCTCTGGCGTTGTGCCTTGCGTCTGGCAGAAACTGACCGTTTCGTTCTCCCACCCTTTCGACGCTTTGCCATTCGCTGCGACATGCAATGATCCAACGCAACGCAACGCAACACAAACGACACGCCACGCAAACGACAGGACATGTTCTACATGGCGTGCGAGCTCCTGGAACGGCCCGACCTCGAGGACAAGCCGGCGTGCGTCGGGAGGGGGATGATCCTGACCAGCAACTACGTCGCGCGGCGGTACGGGGTCCGCTCGGCCATGGCCGGCTTCCTCGGGGACAAGCTGGTCGAGGAGCTCTCGGAAGGCCGGGAGCGCCTGGTCCACCTGCCGTCGAACTTTGGCCTCTACCAGGAAAAATCGGGGATCGTCCTCGGGGTCCTCCGCGAGTACGATCCCTTCCGGATGCGGTCCCGGTCCCTCGACGAGGCCTTCCTCGACATCGGCCCGTACCTGGTGGTCTTTCTCATGCACCCCGGCTTTTCCCACGAACAGATCCGCGACGCGCTGCGCTCGGGGGGGACGGCCCGGGGGCCCCGGACACCACAGCAACAGCAACAGCAAGACCAGCAACAGCAAGACCAGCAACAGCAACAGCACGACTGGTCCTGCCCGGAAACGGCCATGGGCTTCCTCGAGACCCTCTCGCCCCTGGCCTGCTCGGACGCGGTCGAGAGGGTCGTCTCGCGGCTCCGCGCCCACGTCCGGGAGGCCACCGGAGGGCTCACCTGCTCGGCGGGGGTCGGGCGGACCTTTGCCATTGCCAAGATCGCCAGCGACAAAAACAAGCCGGACGGCCAGCTGGTGGTGGATCCCTCGGCCACCCAGGCCTTTGTGTGGTCCCTCCCGGTCCGGAAGATCCCCGGCATCGGCCGCGTCACGGAAAAACTCCTCCGGGGGGCCTGCGGCATCCGCACCGGAAGGGAGCTCTACCAGAAGCGGGGGCTGGTCAAGTGGCTCTTCCCGCCGGCGACCGCCGGCTTTTTGCTCCGGGCCTCGGTGGGCTGCAGCAGCGGAAGCAACGGCGGCGACGGGAACGGCGGGGAGGAGCACCAAAAGGGGATCGGCCGGGAACGAACCTTCCGGCCCGAGTCGGACTGGGAGGGGCTGAGGGCGCGGCTACGGGACATTGCGCGCAAGCTGGCGGACGACATGGCGAGAAAGTCGGTCGTCGGGCACACGATCACGGTCAAGGCCAAGCTCGAGACCTTCGAGGTCCTGAGCAGGGCGGAGAGCCAGAAGCGCGGGGTCTACCTCCGGACCCCGGAGGAACTGGAGGAGGCCTCGGTCGGCCTCCTCGCTTCCATCCGTTCCGCCCACCTGGGGGGAAACGCCCGGAAATTCTCGGTGAGGCTCCTGGGGATCCGGTGCTCCAACCTGCTCGGGGTGTCTTCCCTCCGGGCGGGGGGAACGATCGAGCGGTTCTTTTCCTCGTCGTCGCGTTCGCCCCCTTCCGTGGGAGGCTCGGGCCGCGGCACCGGAACCCCGGAACGCGAGACGACGGAAGACGGCAACCACAAGGACGAAACAACTCCATCGTCGGTCCAAAGAACGCCGTTTGCCCACCGGCATCGCACGCAGCAACAACAGGACCTCGTCACCGGTTGGTCGAAGCAAGCAGGAGAAACCGCTCCGGAGAAGAAACGGCTTTTCCTTTCGGGTCATCCGTGGCTCCCGCTGCAGCGGCCGCAAGGGATGCGGCCGTCGCCCCCGGCGGTTGCGGGTCCGACGCGGAGAAGAAACGCAAGCGAACCGAACGCGTCGTGTGCTGCCCGTTGTGCTCTCGGTCCTTTCCGGCCGAGGACAACGACGCACTGAATGCCCACATCGACACCTGCCTGAACGGCGTCCACGGAACGTCTACGGTCCGCCGGGCGATCCGGGAAGAAGAATCACGACTCCGGTGTGGTCCGGCGGCGGGCACCGGGGCGTCCCGAGCCAAGCCGAGGCGCCTCACCGATTTTTGGAAGGCGAACACCTGAGGTCTCCACGGTTCGTATTGAACTGATCCACTATCGAAGCAAAATAAATAAGCAGAACGCTACGAGAAAAAGGAATCTCCAAAATTGATTAATCTGCAACGGTGTGTCCTCTCAGCTTTCTCTGTTTAGAATGTGTTACTAGTTGTTGCTGTCATTATACAGGGTCATGTTTTTCATTTCTTTTCCTCCGTCTTTTCCTTGCTGTCGCTCCCACTCTTGTCCTTGTCATCGTCAGTCGTGGATTTTTCCTTCTCCGTTTCTTCCTTCTTTTCCTCTTCTATGTCTGTTCCGTTCTCTCCGTATCGAATGCGGTTGTTGATGAGATCATGCAGGGCAATGACGGATCGGATCAGCGCCGACAGGTAAATTGCCAGCTGCATGTCGTTTGTTTTTATGAGGATGCTTCGAACCATTTCTTCCGTATTGAGATTGGGCAGAAGGTTCAGTATGTTTTGCAAATTGGCGACAATGTCCGGATTGGTTTTCTGGTCTCCCCGAACGCAGGCCTCCAGGTAATCCTTGCACTCCACGAGTTTCTCGGCGAGCGTGGCCAGACCCGAAATCTTGCCCTTGATGAGGGAAGCAACCGTGCTCACGGTTGGATCGTTGATGTCCCGCAAAAGGTGCTCTACACCGACTTCTTCTGCCTCGATGGCCCCCATCTCGGTCGGTACGTGTGCAAAATTCAGTTTGACCTCCCTCTGGCCGTCCCTAGTGGAAACTTCCTCCACCACCTTGTAGGCGGTGGTGGGCAGGGATTGTCGATCGGGGCGAATGTCGATGATGCAAAAAACGGGTGGCGTGATCGTCTTTGATGGCAAGAAACGTTTCACAATGTCGTGGATTCTCAGGTCGTTTTGTCGGATCTGTGGGCCCGTAGAGTAAAAGCCAACGACACGTTCCTTGGCGTTCACTTTACGGAACATTGCCAGCATGTTTTCCAAGTAATTGTGATCCAAGTAAAAAACGGACTAAGGAACACATGAAAAGCATCGAATAAAGGAAGTAAGACACAAAACTAAGCACAGAATCCATATGCACCTGCCATGTTCACGGAGGCCAACAAACAAACACCTCTGTCGTCCAGTATTGCATCAGATTTACAAGCCGTGACGACCTCGTTGTCTTTTCGTTCGTCAGAACTTACGGCATTTTTGGAATCTTCCTCGAATGGAACCGCGAACGAGTTGGTACAATCCACAACTCCTTTTGACGCCGACCCCAAAAGAACGCCCACTACGCGCTTCCGGGTGCCGCGGGCTACTCGGTGATAGTGATCGGCGGCGCTCAAGAGCACTAGGGGGTGCATTGTCACCTGGTTAATTTCTCCCACCAGAGGGACCTCCACCGGTGACGCCTCTTCTTCGTCTATTTGCATTGCGGACATGGTGCGGTACTTGTAGATAGTGTATGGAAGACACCTGTTGGGAACGAGGTTTCGTACTCCTGCTTGAAGAGTTTCTTGTTGCTTGTGCCGTTGTTTCGTCTAAAATCCTAAATCCACCGTACTACCGGAGTCTGATGAACAAACATAACTGATCAACCATCGAACGAGTTCGTTACTCTTCGAAGATGTTTCACTCGATTTACTCGATCGAGTCGAATTTTGCAACGATTTTCAAAAATCTTGCCCCCCAAAATGTGAAAGCTTTCTTTTTTCGTTTGTACCAGGCAGGTATCAAACAAAATATCAACTAAAAATACAACCCTGTAGGACACAGTACATATTCTATGTAGATGAGACAGTGTGCACCAAGCGTGCGCGGAGACAAGAGTATCAGCGTGTTTGATGAGAAGTACTCACACGATCACGCACAAGGCAAACTCTATGAAATTCTATAGAAAAAAAAAACAAGTTGGGAGAGTAATTCTCGACAATCACGTCGATACTAACAACACTGATATCAACACTCCTGTCAGCTATCAACATGGTCCTCTTGTTGAGGCTAGCAAAATACAGTTAACATATACACAGTACACTATATTTTTATGTTTTTTTTTCGATATAAGGGGGGGACAAGTAGTAAGGAAAGAAGACACGCAACAAAGAACAAAGAACAAGCGTCGGCCGACGACGTCCACGATGACGGTTAAGCTTCACCAACAGSAGCCGGTCCGCGCAGCATGTGGTGACCCCCATTGGCTTCATGGGGTCCCATAGCTTTAAGGATGTAAGACACCCTCTTGGTTGGACCACCATACACTGCATAAATTCTTCTTACAGCCACTTCAGAWGAACAACCAGCCCTGATGAGTCTTTCCATGCACCTCCAGAACTTCAACCGCCTGCAGTACTTGCTCTTTACACGACCACGCTCAGCAGCAGTGAACTCCTTGGCAGGCTTATTGAGACCGACACCAACTTCCCATTCATTCCACAGGACATAAAGATCATGAGGACACTTGCATAGCTCAGCGTTGCCAGCACTCTTGGACGCGCCACTGTTCAACGCACGAGGAGGGGCCCGGGGCCTCCTTCTTACAACTGGTGCCATTGCAGCTCTTTGGGACAACTCGATGGCTTTATTGAGCTTCYGATTGAACTTTGCTTCAGCTGCAATCTGCCTATTTTTAATATCATTCACTTGATTAGCTGTGGCAAACAGCTTTGAGAACATTGCATGATTCCACTGCAACTGAGTCCTACGAATCCCAACAGCAGCTCCTCCGCTCCCTCCGCCACCACCACCAGGACCACGATCAAGCAGATCATMCGGATCAGCAACCTCATCAAAGTGAACTTGCCCACTCATCTCATTAGCAATCAGCTCAACTTTCTTGATAGG